GAAGTTGACTTGTAGATATTATTAATTCAATATTAAATTTGCTTGTAAACAATGAAATATTTGACATATTTCTTTAATCTTGCTGAATTCTTAAAAAAGGACAGCTTTTTTTATTTTATCATTTTTTATTAACAAATTATAAAGGTAATATAATTATTTTGATTGTGAATTTTCACAATATACTTTTCATTTTTATCTTAGATTAATTATCAGCAAAATATTTTTTTTATAATTTTCAATAAACATAATGAAATTGATCATTTCTTGTAAAGCTTTCTAAATAATTTTATTTTGATTTCAATTAAAAGCAAATCCTTGTATATGAATGAATCTTGGAATGACATATCACACAAATTTTAAGTTTATTTGCACATTTTCACATGCTACTAGATAGTTGCATGGTGAAAAACAATGTATGACTGGTTTAAAGCTCCTTATGAGTAGTGTTTATATTCATTCAAAATTGTTCGGACAATATTCAAATATCATTCATGTGATTGATATTTGAATATCATGAATACAAACACTATAAAAAACAATATTGATCCCTGAAATCCTTGATATGCAAATGTTCACTTTGTCTGATTTTGTTGCAGTATGCCCCATATTATGAAGAAGTTTATAATTGAAATAAAAAATAATGAAATAAATAAATTGATAAACAAAATGACCATTTATATTACTGGATTTATTCATATTTTTGCTAATCACCAAATGAGCCAATACTTTTTTTAGGGATGTGCACGTGACCAAAAATATTCTAGTTGATATATACCATTATAGTTTCAATAATATCAGAACAATTATTTATACTGTATAGGAGTTTGTGTGATTTACTTGTGTTTAATGTGTTTTTGTGATTTAAATTTATATGAAATATATATTTTTTTTTATTTTTTTTTTTTAAGATTATGAAATAACATTATTCTGATGAATCATAGAGCAATTAAAAATATACATGTTACAGTCAAGCCTCCATAAATGCACACTATGTCTTGGTCCCAACCTCAGGACTTGTAGATAAATGCACACCCTTCATATTATTCTTCAATATTCATAACTTGTGATGGTATAATGCTTGGGTCTGAAATTTCAATGAAAATTTCAACAGTGTTGATATTAATATCAAATTGTCTTCCACTAATGTGTTGAATAAATAAATTAAAATGTATCTCATTTAGGCTTGAGAAGAATGTGATGTTTGCCTCCACTGTCACTAATTGTTCAATATTTGTGATAATGTTATTGTCAAACAAGTAAACATCTCTCCATCTTCCTTTGTATATGTTTCAGTAGAACCAGTACTAATATTTTTAACAGTAATGGTATTTGTATTCACCAAAATTTCAGTGTTTGGAAAAAATATTGAGAATATTTGTCAATGAATGTTTAAATGGTGCATTGAGACTCATTTTAGATTTTAATCAATAGAATTGGTAATGCATGATACTTTTTCTTTCATCTCTTTTCATTACCATAAGTTTGTTTGAGATATTTCACTGATTTTTCCTTGAATTGTTTTCTTGTTATTGTCAACATCATTATTTAAATAATAATTATATAGATATTGGTAAATCTTTTTTAAATTTAAAAACAATTTCATATGATATTCCATTAATTTTCATCATTTGTATTCCCATTTGTTTAGAGCTTTCAATATTATTTATCTGAGCCATATCAAATTCTTGTGTAATAAATCATTAAAGCTGATATCATAATTGATTGTGACAAGGGTATTTGCTGTCTACTTTTTTTTACAGAGCTTTTAATGATCTTCCATTTAGATGATTTAATGTATATCAAAATAAAATTAGACTTTTGCCATTAAGTTTATCATCATTGTTATCATCATCATCATCATCCTGATCACTTTGATTCCTGGATAAAAAATAAAACAATATTTAGATAATAATAGATTAGTTATTGTGAATAATATTTTATGCCCACTTACTTTTATGTTTGTTTTTTGTTTTTTGTTTTATGTTTGTTTTTACAAATTTGTTTTGCAAATATTTCCACTGTGTAAAAATAGATTATTTGAGAAATTCATGCATGGAGGACCCTGAAGAATCTTGGGAGATGGTCCATTTGGAAAAAATACCCACATTATTACCATTTTTGGAAATAATTTACAAGATCATTACAAAACAAATCCTAATTAAGAAATGATATTCGATTTTGAAGGCCATTTCTACCCCAAATTGAAATGTACCATCTTCTAAGATTGTTCGAGGTCATATAGAAAGCAGCTGAATTTCTTATACTTCTATTTAAGGCTTATATTTAAGTGAAAATTTACAATAGTTGTTTTTTTGTTATTTGTGTTCTTATAAAGATTCGCATTAATGTGATTGATTGTAATCACACATTGGATAGATCCTGTAATTTTTGACGTTTGATTTACTCCTGGCTTTTTATGGAAACAAGTTGGTTCTTCATTAAATTAATTATGGCGAATAATACATACTTGCTCTTTTTATTAATGATTTCAAACTGATTAAATATATATATTATTCCTTTTCATCTATAGATTGTGAAAGAGGGATTTCTCATCAATATAAGACAAGGGAGAGATTCATCAAATATGGAAACTTTAGATATGCTGTTCCAAGTGTCTTTGGAGGACCTATCCATAAGTATCATGTATAATTTTATTTTACAATAAAATATTTAAAAAAAGAAATTTAAATTCTTGCATAAATTTTATTTCACATATTTACATGAAGATCGGAAATTTGTATAATTTGCATCAATCATGCTTTGAATTGTTGTTGATAAATGCCATTTTTTGATGGCATTTAGTTTAACAATTGATCCATGATGCTTATATGAAATTCCAACTAAATTCTTGCATGTAGAAAGACAAGAATTTAATTGGTTCGTTTACCCAATATTTAATTAATTATAAAAATATACAAGTTTTCCCCATCTTTACCAAGTAGATATTGGCAAAAAATATGCAAGCTTTTATCTAACAATAACGAAAACATATTTAGGATATCATTCCAACCAATTAGTAAAATTTTAACCCAATAAGATTTCAAAATTTACCCATTTTGGATTGCAGTACAGTCTACACTGTCTATAACGGGTTAAAAGTTTGGTCTCGATTTTTTACTATTTGAAGTCTCTTTCTATAATGGATATTATTAATTAAACTTTTTATTATGTATAACGGATTGTATCTGAAAATCACTTCATATGACTTGCACTGCCTATAACGGATTCATGTGATCTGGAATAAAATGCAGATCTCTCCAAATCTAGATATAGTTAATATTAATTGGTGGTCCGCCGATCAACGATAGAAATTTGTTATGTAGATCCGGGATATCAAACTTATTAAAATTTAAGAGATCACGGAATCCAAATTGTCCATTAATTTTTTTTTAAAAAATATATTTCAAAGTTAAAATTCTTTTAAAATTGGTATTAGATTAAAAAAAAAACCCCCCCGCTTTGAGATTTTTAGAAATATAATAATAATAAATTATTTTTTAATAATGACCATTATAGACTTTTGATTTACATTATATTGCCAATTTGCATCGGAAAACACTTTTTCCTAAATAGTAAAAGTATATACTGTATATTGTAAAAAAGTTATAGAAGTTTATGGATGAGGTTTAGATGTTTTTGCTTTTGATAATTTTTTGAAGAAAATTTTTTATTCATGTTAAGTAAAGATCTAGCATATTGACCT